CTGGATTATCATGATTTCTCCCTATCCCTACTTACTAATGCCTTTGTTTGTTTCTCTATTTTACCTTGGTTTAATGACTTACTGTTCAGTGTAATCATTTTACTGTTTATTCCTTACTGTGAAGCACTTTGGTGTACCCCCGGGGTTTAAACATGCTGTATAAATAAAATTGTATTTTATTGAGAAAAGAAACCAACTTTGGTAGGAACGCAGGGAGGACTGGGAGATGATGACAGAATATTTTTCCTGCACTTTTTTAGCAACTTTCATCAAAACATGTTTGGTAGCTTAGTAACATGAGACAGGATCTCAGGATGGATCAGCAAACAGCTCTGAAGACATGATTCCACTAAAATATCATTCTGCATTTGCTGATAATGAAGAAAAACAAGCAGACACAATCACTGACATTTCAGACTTTTACCTTTACATTGTTCGGCTAATTTAGTAACTTAGCTGAGATGTTCAATAAAGTTGTAGTCAACAATGTTGGCAAATTTGTTCTGCAGATGGAGGAGCACATGTAGTTTTAGTCACCATGGTGTTAAGTTCCTTCATTTTAATAGTTACCAAAGTACATTTGATCAGCAAAAAAGAATTGATGCTCCTCAAGGACAGCCTAGCCTACCCTTTCAAAACAAAGGAAACTGCTGTTCTGAAGGAAGAATATTAATACCAGAATCACAAAGTATGTCTTGTTATACCAACACAGTTACAGTCTATTTAATTTTATTCACTCCAGATTTCAATTTACTATTGAGTCTCTGGTCTTTTTCATTGATTTCAGGGAGATAAACGCCATGACCAAAAATAAATATTTTTGTTGAAATGGAAAATCACACGAAAGCATTCAAGGTGTGGAAGTATAAGGTAGAATACAAGGACAGGAAAAGCATTAAGGAAAATGCTCAAGAAAAAAAGAAGTGTGAAACAGATAAATGTTCGGACAGAAACTCTATTGTGTGTCTTTCCTTAGAGCCTCAGTGTGTCAGAGTGGATCACAACCTCGACACCGCCCGTCCAGTGGCTGCTTCCACCTTTATTGTCACCATACAAAAGAGACGGATAGCATGTGGCACGGGCAGAGTCTTCTAGCGACTCAGTAACAACCACAGAACGTTCATTAATCATTGGAGGTTTCACAGCAAAAAGCCGATTCCTGAGTCAACTTTTCTTCCATAGACTATCACACCTGACAGCCACGTGGAGAACCTCCAGCTGACTCTCAAATGCACTGCTGAGCATTACCGAATTGCTAATTAGATCACTGCCTGGTATTAAACATATAGTTTTAATAATGTTATTACAAACATTGCATATGTGCTCATGAAAGAGTTAAGAACTCAGTGCTGTGAAAATCAGACGTTCAGCGTGAGCGTCTGAACTGATATATTGTAGGAATGACTTGGAGCGCAGTGAATGAATGCATAGCACGCTTAGACACAGACATGACATAGGTTTATTCCTAGGGTAAAGGTGAAACATATGTTGCTGTATGCTTGCATAGCAACTAGTGATGCAGAAGGTGTTAAAGATAAGCATGCCATGAATAAGTCGACAGGAAACATCTGGAGGCTTCTTTCTTCTTGTGTCAGAAAGAATATAACACTGGGAAGATGATCTGAAAAGCAGCTTCATCTATGGCTCCAGGAGGTGATAGCAGCAGGGGTTATGGTAAATGGACTGATTCTTATACAGTGCTTTTCTACTCCCCCAGAGTACTCAAAGCGCTGCATACAACATGCCTCATTCACCCATTCACACCCACTCATACAAGCGCTTCCTTCTGTACTTAAGTGCAATCTAAGCATTCACACACATTCACACTTCGATGGATGCATCGGAGAGCAACTTGGGGTTAGTATCGAGCCCAAGGATACTTGGCATGCAGACTGGGGAAGCCAAGGATCGAACCACCAACTTTCCAGTCAGTAGCTGATCTGCTCTACCACCTGAGCCACAGCCACCCCATGAGAAATTGAGAAACTATATTTCCTGGGCCCAGACTAGGAAAAGTTGGATGATCATTTTGGGAATGACCTAAAAGCCGAGCAGACAAAGAAAAAGGAGAAAATGGAAAATGAGCTCTACATGGAAAGCCTAACCATGTATCAAGGTCCCGCAGGAGGGAGTGGTCATCTAAGCACCAGAGGATGCAATCACACGGGCAAGGGGAGAGGTGGCTGAGAACAGGATGATATGATGGAAATGTCTGTTTCCTGTATAATCAGGGCCATTGTTGGACTAAACATTGCCCCAGTAAGGACATCAGTAGTGGTGACATTGCATGGATGAACCAAAGCTGGGAAGGGGTGTAAGAGAGATGTGTAGCCACTCTGACAACTGAGGCTGAAGGTACCTCACCTGTAGCACACACAGATCCCAACACATATCCTGTGATATTTTTTTATTTTGAATATAAATTTACACCCTCATATTTCAAATCTGAAAAATAAATTTAGACCCTCTACATTTCGTAAAATGCCTCAGTATGAATTGGTAGTATGTGGCAAACAAACTGCTTGCTTTCTAAAAGTGAATAGGGTTTGAACCTGACACTTTTAGGACCTGATCAAGTCTTATAGTCTTATCAGTGGAGACTGGCAGCTGGTAGCATAAGTGACCTACTTTTGGAGGAGAAAAGAAAATGCACTCTCTACACAGCATCTGACATTTCTCTGTGGGTTTGGATAGCGATTTAGTGTTTCAAGGATGAATTTAAAAATGAGGCCCTTTGACCCAAACATACTTGCTCTAGTTGAAAAAAAATGTGGAGTTAAGATGTACACACTGTGGCACAGTTGATGTTTTACACTCTGCCCAACACGTGCCACTATCAAAACATTAAAGTGACAGATGTGATAGATGCTTTCTTTTGCTCGCTTTCCAGTCTGTACCCACCTTAGGTCTACATGAGCCCACCAGACCTTTCACAGAAAGGGATGAGAAAAATGTGTGCATAACTTCTGTTTTGTTGCAGGGTCATGGAGGGGACAATGATCTGTTGCCTATTGCTCGAGAAGGGGAAGAGCATAATTGTGTTGTTGTGCTAAATGAAGCATATTCTCCTCACCCCTGTTACTCTGAGACACCTTTGCGTAACCGTGATCTTGTTCTCTTTGGGGTTCTTCGTATTTCATTGTCAAGCTCACAGTAACAACCCTGACCCAATTTTTATAGGGAATACCAGAGTGGATGTGGTTGCTCACGAAGCAGCTGAGTGGGACCTCACACACAATGTAATGGAGGCAGGGGTTCGTTAACCTTGGCCTGTATTTTTATTAGTGTATTGGAGGCTAGATAAAAAGTAACATACATTTATGGTTTGGAAGATTCCTTATTAAGCTGGGCAGACACTGTGTGATTTTTTCAGTCACGTTATTCAGCTCCTGCTCAAACTGCACGATTGACTCGCAGGGGTTAGAAGTTCGTAGGTCACGATGCAGGATTTCAAACAGGTTTGATTTTCTTACAACCAAGCGACCGATGATCGGGAGCTGGTCGTGAGGTGCTTATCGCTTCTACACGATGCACGACACACGATGAAGGCGAAACTCGGGCCGATCACCAAAACAGTCGCATGGTTTTACTATTTAAGAAGCAGTTTTTGGAAGGTGAAGAAACAGAGCATCCTACCTGTGTAATCTGCAACTGAAAATAGTTGTGGGTGATTACTATACCTTTCTAATGTGACGTTGTTGTCCCTGGCTCTCTTTCTCTCTCTCTCCCTCCCGCTCTGTTCCTGTGCTACTGAGTGTAACTACCGCCCCTCCCCCCTCTGCCCAGCAAAGCACAAGGCTCGCGTGCCGAGTGAAGCGGGAAAAAGTGCGAGAGAGAGAGAGAGAGAGAGAATCACGGCTCGCGATAAGGAGTCGGCTCGCATCGTTCACGTCAAAGACCCGGCTCTAAGGCTACGTTCACACTGCAGGTCTTAATGCTCAATTCCGATTTTTTGATCAAATCCGATTTTTTTGTCTGCTCGTTCACACTACAAATAAAATGCGACAGCAAACGCGCTCTAGTGTGAACGCTCAAAGCGGCCCGCATGCGCAAAAGAAGACGTCACACACAACGCGCTCTGTTTAGACCCAGAGCAAACAGTATTGTTTGATAGATGGCCCTTAATATAAAGACTTCGGACTTTATGTTTCCCAATTTTTGCTTTAAGTTATTTTGTTGTTTACATAATAATGTAAATAACCTAATAATTATCCTTATTGCTGTTTTAGAGAGGAGCGGTGCTTCAAAGGATAGCTGCAGATTTCTGTCAGAATCTGCAGATTAAACAGTACAAATAAAATGTTCACGTTTCTCCAACGTTGTCTTCCCAGCAGTTTCACTGATATCTACACGGGATGGCCAGAGAAGCGTTCGCGATGTCTTCTCTGGCGCTTCTCTGGCACTGATAATTGGCGTCTGTCTTGTGTCAGTGACGTAAAAGACGGATTTAATGCGACCTGACCGTTCAAACAGCAGTCGCTTTCTAAAACATCGGATATGTATCGGATTCAGTACCACATACGAAAGTGACCCAGATCGGATTTGAAAATATCGGATTTGCGCCGTTCACACTGTCATAGCATGATCGGATATGGGTCGCATAGGGTCAAAAAAATCGGATTTGATGCGCTTTCGCCTGCAGTGTGAACGTAGCCTAAGAGCCATTTCGTTCGCGACCGACACATCACTAGAACTTAAAGATATGGCTTTTTCCCTCCATTGATACACACTTAGATGACCGGACAGTGAAATCAAAAGAGGGAACATTACTGACACTCAGTAGTAGCATTGATTTTGATAAGTGCCACTGGAGAAATGAAAGATAATGTCAGGATCTGACGGCGCCCTGACCGGTCGACCTGCCAGTGTGTGTATATCTGTGTGTATGTGTCTCTCCTATCGCCCTGTCTTCCCCTCCGGCTCCACTGTGATGTGTTAGGAGGTAACCTAGCAACAGGCTACCTCCGACCCGGAAGTGCTGTCACCCGGAGCTGCCGCACCTGCAGTCAATCCACCAGCTGCTGCCAATCAACTACCATCTTCAGCAGGGCTACTTAATGGTGTGGCTGAGCGACAGACAGCGCTGGAGTATTGCACTAAGCCTGGTAGTGTTTTCGAGTCGCTAACGTTATTGAAGTGCTGTCTGATCTTTGTACTCATTCTGCTGTCGTGTGTGTGTGTGTGTGTGTGTGTGTTCACCCAGGGATTGACGGAGGATTTACGGACACTAAGGAAGCACTTGGAGGAGAGACGGGCACTCACTACCACGCACGGGCTTACACGGAAGGAGGGACGCACTATCACCATTGTTGCACATTTGAACTGTTGTCACCTTGCTGCACTGTAAATAAATGCACTGTCATTATTTCTGAGCTCCGCGCCTGAGTCCACTCTTTAACAACCATGACAGATAAGGCTCCTTGTTCATCTGCAACAAGAGATGCAAAGTCCCGCAAATGAGATCCTCAAACCCTGCGTCCTATGTGATACTCATTTTATGCTTCTTTGCTTGAAAAGTGCCTTTTCTCTTTGCCCATGGTTATTTCATTACAAATGGTATTCTATTTTTATTCACATTTTAAGTGTTACTGTTTTGTTAAGTGTTGAGTTTTCCCATGTACCATGAATGCACCATAGCACTGTGCGTGGTGACTTTCTTTCACTGCATCTGCCTGCACGGAGCTAGATGCGCAAAGCTGTGTGAAGATTCAGTCCTGTAACGTGTAACTACGGAAATAATGTTTTCTTTGAAGAATATCCTGGCTGGTTTTTTTTTTTTTTTTAATGTGGTAGAAGTCTGCTGCAAGGGCCGAGCGGTGCCATCTAAGGACCGGATGCCACTGGAGGTGCCTTGGAAGGACGCTCTCAATCTGAAAGCCACCTGTTCCCTTGGAGGGTGGTAGGATACAACGATTTGCAATTCTTTTTTTAAGGATTAATGTTTTTAACTGAGACCTCAGGACACTTTATGTTGCAACTTTTCCTTTTTGGGTCAGATCAGATTCCCCTTAACACAAAAACTGATGCATCTAAAAGCAAAACTGTGACTAAAGATAACTCAAATAACTTGAACACCTAATGCTGAATACGAAGTGCACTGAACTGAAATGGACAGCCTACCTAATACATTTATGGACACTTGAAGTGATATATTGGACATTGTTGAAGATTACATGTTTGAAATGATTTAAATGTTTTGTTTGTCTATGTTTTTGGACCATTTAAATGTTGAATACACTCAAATCACTTTTTTCCTTTAAGTTGTTGTCAGTGTCTCATTCTGTTTTTTTTTTTTTTTTTTTTTTTTTTTTTTTTTTTTTTTTTTTTTTTTTTAAATGACATCAGAAACAGCAGTATGCGACATTACGTGATGGCAGAGCTTCAGTTCATCCTTTGTCATTTTTTTTTTTTTTTTTTTTTTTTTTTTTTTAATAAATAGGACAGGGGGAATGAATGAGAGAGAGAGGGGGAGAGAAAGAAAGAAAACCCAAGGGGAGAAGAGACGGTGAGAAGGGGGGGAAGAGAGACAAAAAAAAAAAAAAAAAACTCCTGGGTCACCTGTATGGAGAAAAAACAAACAAACAAACAAACAGAGGAGACAGCAAACAACAAAGAGCAACATAATAATAGAGAAAACAAAGCACCATCACAATAAACTAGCTAGTCATAGATATCAGTATTTACTAAGTAATAAACGATATTGTGCAGCACGCAAGATAGACAGCGCACAGTGTGCTTTGAGGCAGCAGCCAAGAAAGCTTTAGTCCGCGTCTGTGAATACCCATGTGTGCATACCTGTGTGGATCAGCATGCTTGCATTCCAAAGGTTTCTCCATGTAATGATCTGCTAGGGAGTGTGGGGGGGCCACAGCCCCGTCCTCCAGGGTGTGAAGCGGGTATGGAGGAGATCAAAACTCCAGACATCCAGAGGACCCCAGAACACAAGAGACCATGGAAGACCAACAGAGGGGCAGCCGCGCCACTGTTCCAGTAAGAGCTGAGGAGAGTCCCAGATGAGGGCTCACTCAGCAGCCGCGGAGCAGAAGCCAGGGGGGGTTGCAGTGACGCGCCCGTGAGCTCCGCCGGCCCCCAGCTGCGCCTGAGTGACCGAGCCCTAGGCCGAGAGGCCGGGGGCACCCCACCTCCAAAGGGGCCCGAGCGAGCCCCAGGCCCCAGGCCCCGACAAGCGGCCGCCAAGGAGTGAGCCGGTGTGTACCCGGACGCCCACCCCCAGACACAAAGAACCACCAACACACCGACACCTGAGGGAGTCCGCCACCGGCAGGGGAAGTGGTGGTGGGTGGAGATAGGCCTCCAAACCTTGGAGGGCCTGAGGTGTCCCCAGAGAGGTGGCGTCTGATACCCAACCTGACATATAGACACAGACATACAGGCACACACAGACACAAACATCCATTCCCACCCTCATGCTCTCATATGCACTCACTCCACACTCAACCAACGTGGAGACAGACATAAAGAGACGCTGTACACACAATCACACTCCCCAAGCGTACTCTACAAACCGGGTCTAGGTACCCTTGCCCCTGGAGGGGGGAATTGCACCCAGACCCAGGTGGTGTTACCCTTTTCCCTGCGGTGGGGAGAGGCAGACCACCCCGACTCCGCAGCAGCAGGGAGGCCCCACACCCCAGACCGCAGTCGGACGGCCAACTCCTCCTACTAGCCCCCCCGCTCCAGCAGGCCGCAGAGAATGGGGGTGGGAGAAGACTCCAAACCTCCCTCCACCCGCTCATTGTAGTGTTGATGCATATGTGTTCTAAGGTGCAATTAAAACCCAGGAGGGCATGGAGCTACCTGCCAAGGAGCAGCAGGTAAGCGCATGGTCCCTCCTGCTAGCCCTCAATGACTAAGTGTATTTAAAATTGAGAGGTGGGCAACGACGTCAGGGGTGAGGTATACACCCTGATGGTGATTTGGACTCCGTGATTGTGCCCACCCCCAAGATCCTATATGTATGTGTAATGAGAGTGTGAATAATGTGAATGTCTAAGTTGTGGGATAAAATTGAGGCAGAGGCAGCCAGAAGGGGACAGGGGGGGGGGGGTAGCCTCCTCTGCACCCTGGTGACATACCCCCACTCCAAGGCCCTGCATGTGTGGGTGGTTGTGGAGGAGCGGGAAGAGGGAGGCAGCTGGAGATGGGGAGGGAAGGAAGGGAGGGGCAGGTAACCCCTCCCTGGGGCCAGCTCCCCCGCTGACCCCAGTAGGCACTCCCACCCTCCGCGACCCGCCAGGGAAGGGGGGCCCAGGCCCATCAGACCGGGGCCCAGTGCAGTAGCGCCCCCCGGCTCCACAGAGCCCTGGACAGTCCACCCAACCCCACCACAGAGAAAACTGCACCCACCCCACCAACCACACATCTTCCAGACTACATAAGACGGTAAACGCCCAGGCTGAGATCTTCCTCCACCTCTCCTGTATCTCCCCCTCCTGCAGAGAGTTCCTGAGAGAAGAAAGCTCCTGCCAGATGTGACCATCCCCCCACCAGTTGAAGAGCCCCCAGGCGGCTCGATGCACCGGCGGCACCCTGCTCCAGGGCCGGGCCCCCATGCACCCACCCGCCCACAACCCCGGCAACACACCAACCAGGACCCGAGCCCCCGAGGCCCGGCCCGGGCCCCCGCCCAGAGACGGAGCACCCCCAGAACCTCACGCCCATCCCGGACCCACCCAGGGGCAGCCAGGTTGCCAGGTCAGTAACCCACGTCCGTCAGCACAGACCCTCCCCTAGCCCCGCTGCACGCAGCCGCGAGGAAACAGTCACCTGAGAGCCAACAGAGCCCTCAACCGGACGTGACCGCTACCCCGGGTTGAGCCCCCCAAGGAAGATGCCTCCGGGGAACCCCCCGACGCCCTAAGCCTGTCCCTACCCCCTCACCAATCACAACAGTGAAGGCGGGACCAAACTATGACCCCCCACCCCCACTAGGTGATGGAGCTGATAAAAGGGGCCCAGAGCAATTGATCTGATGTGGTGGCAGAGGCTGTGTCAAGACTAATGTAATCTAATAGATAATTTCTATATTGGTTAGAATTAAGATTATTTTTATTTTTCCAGTTCATGAGGACTGTTTTCTTGGCTATGCATAGGGCAGTGAAGATCATATGGGCTATATTCTTTTCTGAAGTGACATTATCTAAGCTGCCCAACAAACACACTAAGGGGGAAGTTGGAATGTTACATTTCAGACATTTTGATAAGTCTTCACATATCTCGCGCCAAAACTTTTGCACTGGTGGACAGAACCAAAGAGCGTGGATGTAATTGTCTGGTGTATTGCCTTGACAGTGTGAGCAGTTGTTGGAAGATGTAAAGCCCATCTTAAACATCCGATGACCTGTATAGTGCACTCTATGAAGTATTTTGTATTGTATTAATTGCAGACTGGGATTTTTAATTAATTTAAAAGTTTTTAAGCAAATCTGAGACCAGAAGTTTTGGTCTAGGTTGACTGATAAATCTGCTTCCCACTTTGCAGTAGGAAGGGATATTGATTCATCTAATTTAGAAAGTGTTCTGTATATTTTAGATAATAATTTGGGGGATTTAAGAGTAAGAAAATGTGCCGCACTTAGTGGTGTTTGTAATTCCACTTGACTGAGGTTAAATTTCTTTTTTACTATGGATTTAATTTGTTGATATTCTAAAAACCTTGTCTTGTTGATCCCATATTGTTCAACTAGTCTGTCAAATGGAATAAATTCTGTTCCCTCTAATATATGTTCTAAGTATTTAATTCCTTTACAACTCCATTCTGGGAAATTAATCATATTATTGTTTTGTAATATGTCAGGGTTATTCCAGATAGGTGTACGTTTGCATGGGATTAATGAAGACTCCGTTATTTTTAGAAACTCCCACCATGCTGTTAGAGAAAAGCTGATGTTGATACTTTTAAAGCATTCATGTCTTTTGATGTTTGAGCTAATAAATGGTAGGTCTGAAATCTCTAGATCCTTGCATAGTGCCTGTTCAACATCTAGCCAGGGCTCAACTAAGAAGGTATGTTTTAACCATTCTGAGATGAACTGAAGCCTGTTGGCTAAGAAGTATTGGTGAAAATTAGGCAGATCTAATCCTCCTCTATCCTTGGTTCTTTGTAGCGTTTTTAAGCTAATACGCGGGGGTTTATCTTTCCAAAGGAATTTGGAAATATATGAATCCAGAGATCTGAACCAATCTTGTGATGGTTTGTTAGGGATCATCAAAAATAAGTGTCAGTGTCTCATTCTGAGTGGAGGGTTTTTCCTTCTTTAAGTTGAGTTACCACTGCCAGTCTCCTCACGATCCTAACTGAACCCAACAAGAGTAGATTCTCAGATATGTGTTTTTACTTGACTTTGGATGA